GAGCTCCCTGGTTGACTGCCATCCCTCCCAGGGACCCCAGACCAGCCCTTGTCCTGAAAACCCCAGCAGTGCTTGCAAATGGGGTCTGGCTGTGAATATGTAAAAGCTCTTTCTTTTGCAAAGATGTTTGTGATACATGTTTGCTTTCTACTCAGCAGAAAAGGAGAGGATAAGAGGGGTGGGGTAGGAAGAAAACCTGGGTGACTTTATGCTTTCAGGCAGGGCAGCTCAGGCTACCTGGGGGAACTGGCTGCAGAGGAGACCCTGTGAAATCTGTTTCCTGAGCTCAGAACGGTGCAGAGCAGAGGCCCCGGGTCAAAATCCTGGCTCAGGGCGTCTGCATGGGTTTGGGCCCATTTCCTCATTTCTTTCATCAAGCTTCCCTTTCCTCGTGTGTAAATGAGAAATCATAACCGCACCCGTAGGTCTCTCCTCCCTGGAACACTGCACCGAGGCAACGCCGGCCGAGGGGAGCACTGGACACCTGTGAACTCAGGAGATAGGGCTCCGCGGCTCCTGACCTATGACCCCGCCATGTCACAGGGGTCTCCTCCGTCAGCGTCAGCTTTATTCTCTAAGCAGGGACAGTGTCTGGGGGGCAGGAGGGCATAAAGAAAGGCCGAGCCACGGGATGGGGCCCCGTCCCGGTGGGATGTGATGCACTGGGCCACAGCTCGAAGCGGCACCATCACACCTCCCCACGGTCATGCCCTGGCCGCCCCTCCGGTGGGTCAACTTGCTCGGTCCTGGGAACCTGTGACCCTGGAGACGAGGGCATTTCCAGGAGAACATAGGGAATGGTCTTTTTTCTTTAATCCTCACCTGAGGATATGTTTACTGATGTTAGAGAGAGAAGGGGAGGGGGAGAGAGAGAGAGAAGGAAAGAGAGAAATGTCGATGTGAGAAACATCGATCGCGCCCCAAGCAGGGAGAATGGTCTTTTTTCTTTAATCCTCACCTGAGGATATGCTTACTGATGTTAGAGAGAGAAGGGGAGGGGGAGAGGGAGAGAGGGAGAGAGAAACGTCGATGTGAGAGAGAAACATCTATCGCTCCCCAAGCAGGGGCCGAACCTGAAACCTGGGTATGTGCCCTGATCAGGAACTGAACCTGCGCGCGGGACGAGAGGAAGCGGTCACAGCTGGGACTCAGGATGTCCCCACAAACAGGCCTGTGACCGGCTGTGACGTCCGCTCACCATCGGCCGAGTCTCCTTGTCACGTGGGCACCTCACCATGCCCCCCGCCCCCTCCCCCCGACCATGGCTCGGTGAAGAACTGTATCTGAGGCCACAGAGAACTCCCAAACCGGGCCGGGGCCGCGGCTGGGGCTCGGGCTGGACCCGGAGCACAATCGCCGTGTGTGTACCTTCCTCTGCCGAGAACACGGTGGCCACGGGGCTGAACGGGCCTTCGCCCTTGTTGTTGTAAACGCCCACTTTCACTTGGTACGGCGCGAAGGGCACGATGCTCTCGTTCCTGAACACGTATCGTGGGGCGTCGGGGGACGTGACCACGGTCTGGATCCAGGTGGTGACTCCCAGGGGGCGGAAGGCGACGACGTACCCAAAGCCCTCGCCATTCTGCAGCTCCTCGGGGACCGGCTGTGACAGAGAGAACTCGGGTCACCTAGGGGACCAAGGCTGGGTGCGTGCCGCTGCCAGCCCGGCCTGCAGGGGGCGCACCAGGGAGGAATCCACACAGTATTGCCTGGGTGCTAAGCTAAGGGGAAGCACAGGGGGACCCATGTGGGAACTTTCATTCTGAAATTTTCCAAAGCTGTTCATGTGTTTGAGCATGATGTTTTCTGCCTGAGTTCTGAATGATGATGATAATAAGAATGATGATGGTAATAACAATAATAGTAAGTGGAACAAACACATCTCCTATGCCAAATAAGTATCACCTTATCCCTCATGTTGACTTCAGGAACAGAAACCACACATGGACATGACAATTAAGTACAAAACCGTAAAACTAGAAAAACGGGAAATAAAAACACGCACCCACTCAAAGCTGCATTTGGGTCACATCAAAAACTCCTACTCCCATCCCATCACGATCTCGACTTTTAACGTTGTTCAACGTCTTTAAATCGTAGACACAATGCTAGTGCTTCTGCTTTAAATGTGCTCATTAAAACTGTTCCTAACTATGACATCCAGCAGCAGCTGAGAGGAGGGCCAGGCAGCCAGCACCTGCGGCGTCAGGGGCGCATCCCAGGGGGGTCCCTCACCAGCGAGGGCACAGCTGCTCCGGATGCCGCACGGGCAGCTGGGAGTCAGCAGCCAGGACCGGACTCTCCCCCTGGGTTCCCCAGCCCGATAACCTCGGGCAAATTATTTAATGACTCTACGCCTTAGTGTTCTGTCTGTAAAATGTCACAACGATGCAATTTTTAAAAATATGAAAAATGCTAGGCCCAGTGATTAGCTGGCCTGAGCTTTAAAAGCATTAGCCTCCTGGCTGGCGTGGCTCAGTGGTTGAGCAATGACCTATGAACCAGGAGGTCACCGTTCGATTTCCTGTCACGGCACATGCCCGGGTTGCCGGCTCCATCCCCAGTAGGGGGTGTGCAGGAGTCAGTCAATAGATGATGTTTTCTCTCATCAATATTTCCATCTTTCTCTCCCTTCCTCTCTGAAATTAATAAAAATGTATTTTTTTAAAAAGCACTGGCTGCCAACAGGACCCCAAAAACCCCTTAGCACCCCTCCAGGCCCCGAGGACTGTGAGAACAGCAAGATCCCAGCACCAGCCCCCCAGGAGCCCCCCACTTGAGGCCCCAAGGATTGTGGGAACAGCAGGGCCCTGAAGGGAGATGCGACCCAGGCACTCACCTCCCAAGTTATCACCAGTTCGGACCGGCTTCCGCCTCCCCCACTGACCTCGGAAGGAGGCACTTCAGGGACTGTGAGGTTAGAGAGACAGAGGTGAAACCCTATCTGCCTTTGGCAACGTGTGCCTGAAAGAAGTCGCGATCTTGCTCGTTTTCCATAATTGACATAATCTGATCTCAGGCACATTTTGCACACATGTGTCTGCATATATGCAACATACCTCTCCATGTATGTACGCAGTGGGCCCTTGAGCAGCACTTATGCATGTGTTTTTCTCAGTGAACACCTGCCCTGGTTTGGATCTGTGGTCTGGAGTCCGCAATGCACAGAGGCAGAGCCGGCCACACGCACTGACCCACAACGTGCTGGACAGGGGCTGAGCACCTCGTATTTATTCACAGGGGTCCTGGCACCAACCCCAGGGGACACTGAGCTACAACTTCAGTTTCTGAGAGTCTGACTGTCAAATGTATGAGCATCAGTGCCCCTAACCCCCACCTTGTTCAAGGGTAAGCTGCCTATATCTTTGGGGGGAATCGGTACATAATTTACATTTGTATGAAATGATCAAGGTTTCAATCTGTAAGAAAAAAAGTAGACTCAGTCAGAAGGTCTGCAAAACAAGGCCAGTGCTTCACCAGGAATGATAACAGGACGATCATAGAACAGCGGCTTTACATAAAAATGCCCCGCCTGGGAGCCTTGAGGTCCTTTGATGAGCTACTGACCCTCACACAGGCACCAGCTTTCTCTCCTATGCGAGCCGGTGCTGAGAAAGCCCCAGGACATGGCTAGAATACAGGGTCCCTGCAGCTGGTCTCGTTCACAGCGGCACCCACCGCACCCAGGAGGTGCTCGGCCACAGGGGACGCTCCTTAACATGCCAGGTGAGAAAATGAATGAGCACCAGGCAGACGTGGTCCCCATGGCCCACAGCATCCAGGCCTGGCACCCGTGCTATCTACGTTGCCCCGAGTGAGGCAGCATCGTTCAAGTTATGGAAACGGGTGCCATCACTCGGATCCTGGCTTAGAGCCGACATGGACACACGGGCTGTGTTTAAAACAACGTTTTACGGAGTATCGCTTCATATTACAGAATCTGACAGGGAGCCGTTGCGTCCCCTCAGATGCCTCGATCATGGGACAGGATGCACGCTTTTTTATTTTTAGCTGTGACGTCAGGATATTTTCAGAATTGTCAAACAGTCGTATGGTTCACGTGAATCGTTTCCTGAGGTGGGGCGTTCTAGCAATGATTCTCTCCTGGCTGAATCCTTAGGGGCCGAATGTCCCTCCTCGTGCACTGTTTGAACTCATTCGGGGGCCGGCGGCGGAGCGAGGTTTCCTGGCCGCCGGCTCCGAGTCATCATTATCCCACAGTCTGTCGGGGCTCCTTACAAATGAAAACAGCACTTCCCTGCTAACAGGGTGACGAGGTCAGCGAGTAATTATCACCTTAAGTGACAACACCAGATCCACTCAACATGCATTAGTGGACGCCGACAATGCCCTGGACGCTGGACATGCCAGAGTACATCTGAGGCACATTCAAGGGAGTCTTTCTGACAAGTGCCGTACGGCCAGTCCTGCCATTAAAGACGGGGGCTCATTGCACCGATGGGTCACTGAGGCCGGTCCCCTGCTGGCCGGGAGACCAAGGCCGAGGGGAATGCAAGCTCGCACCCAGGGAAACCTGCCAACCCGCTCGTTACTCAGGAAACGGAACACTAACCTGCCTCTTCAGTTCTTACTTTTTCTGAGGGCAAACTGGGTTCTCCACCTCCGATTCTGTTGCTGGCTACAACCCGAAATTCGTACTCCACCCATGGGTTTAACTCGACTACAGTGGCAGTGTGTGTATTCCCATCAATGACCTCGGGCACTACAAAGAGCAAGTCAGAGAGGTCAGAGTCTGCGTGGCTCGGGGTCGACTGGCAATCCACGGACAGGTACCCACGGCATCGGCCTGACCCCTTACCTGTCCTGGCGGCCTGCCAGCCCACGGAGAAAGGGGTCCTCGCCTGGACGGAATAGGAGGTGATGGGGCTGTGGTTGTCGGTGCCTTCTGTCCAGGACACCTGGGCTGTTGTGTCTGTAATCTCTTCCACCTGCACGTTTCCTGGTGGCCCGGGGGAACCTGGGAAGGCAAGCAAGAGGAGCTAGGCCGTACTCGCCACCCTCTTTTTCCGAAGGGAAGAGCATGCCACATGAGCACTTTAATACCGCCAGAATCCTGATTTCAAAGGCACTTACAGAAAAGGCCATTTACCTGTAATAACCACCCCCCCCCTTCTGTTGTTAGGCCTTAAATCTGACGGTGAGGCAGTCATTCCGCAATCGGGATGCCTCACAGCGGCACATGACGCCTGCTTTTGAGGCCCCAGTTCAGAAGGATGTCTGCACTTTTTCAAAATCAATGTACTTTGCTTTGGGCAGGGTTCCCACTCCTGCCACCACTGGGCACATCTCAGTTGTCTCAGAAGGTCCTCTGGGCTGCTGTGCTCTGGGAGACATGCGGGTCATTTCAGCCCAACAGCAAATCAGCACCTTGGAGAGCAGCTCAGGTCCCCTAGGCCCGTGGTCGGCAAACGGCGGCTCTCGAGCCACATGGGGCTCTTTGGCCCCTTGAGTGTGGCTCTTCCTAAGCCTTAGGAGTGCCTTAATGAAGTTAATAACAGTGTACCTACCTATATAGTTTAAGTTTAAAAAGTTTGGCTCTCAAAAGAAACTTCAATCGTTGTACTGTTGATATTTGGCTCTGCTGACTAGTGAGTTTGCCGACCACTGCCGAAGGCATTCAGGATGACACTGATTCTTCTGGAGTTTCCATACACATGCACACACAAGTACACACATACACACACACAACACACATACACGTCTACACGCACCACACGCGCACGTGTGCACACACGCGCGCGTACATGCACACACATATGCACAAGTGTGTGCATGCACATGCATGCACACACGACAATTCCCTTTCATATTAAACTCGATCACTGACTTCACTACATGCTCACAGCACATCAGCTGAGCAGTTGCTGTGCTAAAGCTATACGGAGGGTGGAGTTGAAATTTTTACTTTTGAATTTGCGAATGATGAAGTTGTCCCCACTACATAGACTTAAGGTAGATTTGGTTTCAGAACTCACCGACTGTTTGTCAGATGTGCTTCTTACCGACCTCGCATAGCATTCAAAAAGGACAAGCAGCCCTGGCCAGTTGCTCCAGTTGGTCACAGGTCCTGGATACACCCAGGTTGTGGTTGGGTCCCTGGTCAGGGCACTGGAAAAAATCCACCAATGAATGCACAAATGGATGGAACAACAAATCGCTGTCCCTCTCACTCTTTTAAAAAATCAATCAATTTTTTTTTATATATAAAGAACAAGCAAGGGCTCCTTAAGGAGTGGATAAAACTACAGTGGAGACACCTCTTACTTAGTTCCTCATCTCAGAATCCAGTACCTGGATTAACTCAGTAATTTTTTAGACCAGTTACTATGTTCTTCTTACCTAAGGTGTCTACAAGTCAAATTATTGAAGTATTGAAGCAAGTGGCGGATTTAATCCTTTAACTTTTATCTTGCAAACTGTAGTCAGATCCCTTTGTTTTTCTTTTGGGTTGAAATAATGCCTGATCTTTCCGGAACTTAACCAAAACTGTCATTTGGCAGGGCCTTTAAACATTTCCATGATAGCATCTAAAAGGGTGAGAAGATTGGAGGACAGTCTTTACATTTCATAGCCAAAATTACCTTGCAAACTATTCCTAATTTTTGGCCAGCATAGTCCTAATTTTACCCTGCGGTTCCACAATCACTGCCAGCTTCTGGAAGAGGAAGGTGAATTAAGTCAGTCCCCCAGGAATCCTCTCAGAAATGCAAATTTTAATAGTTTCCTCCCGGATGGGCTATTTGGCTTCTATTGTTGAAGGCCTTTACTTTAAGCACTGCTAACTGAGGAGGAAAGGGGTCTTGTTCTGAGTAATTATTACATGGGAGTAGTCCTCTTGGCTCCCTAGAATGACATTCTACTTATTGGAGACTGACTGACCTAAATGCCAAACACAAACTAAAGTGCCGAGAAGTTCACTTATATCAATTTGCTTTTCTTTCGCCTTCAGATATAGTGTTTGGGCTAGAAACTCTAACAAAATGTGTTCAATAAAAGGAAAATTCTAAATACAGATAATTATATTATAAGCATTTTTACACTTTACAAATATATACCTTTACGGTTTTGTTAGTATAACATTATCAAGAGAAAAAGTACATGATTACACTTCATGCAGAAAGATCTTCCATTCTTGGGAAAAGGAAGTCCATGTGCTAAGTCAGTGGTTCTCAACCTGTGGGTCGCGACCCCTTTGGCGGTCAAACGACCCTTTCACAGGGGTCGCCTAAGACCATCCTGCATATCAGATATTTACATTACGATTCATAACTGTAGCAACATTACAGTTATGAAGTAGCAACGAAAATAATTTTATGGTTGGGTCACAACACGAGGAACTGTATTTAAGGGGCCAGAAGGTTGAGTACCACTGGTCTAGACAAAGACCTGAATTCCCAAGCGAAGGGATTCCTTTATGAAACTCCATGTTTCCGCTACCTGTCTCTTGTAGGGAGATGGCTTCATGCCTCACGCAGAACCTACACCAAGCAGGGCAGCCGAGTAACCACGGGTGAAGCTCTCAACAGCCTGACTCGGTTAGAACCACTAATGAGGAAACCAGACTTCTGAGGCATTTCCTGAGCATCACACTCGTGCTGCTTTTCGAGTCTACACAGAGCAGGAAGGAAGGGCCACTCACCCCGCCCACCTTCTCCAGGTGAGAGCCGTCCTTCTGGAAGTCGGCGAGCGCCCCGTTGAAGTACCAGGTGAACTCGACGTCCAGCAGGGGGTCGTGCCGCACCTGGCAGGGCAGCACCACGCTCTCGCCCACGGACACGTCCATATTCGATGGTGCCAGCGTTATTCTCGTGGGGTCTGGGGGTGGGGATCAGGTTTTAAGCAAAACGCCAGCGTTTTGTTTCCATGAAAGCGACGTTCCCAGGCCGACTGCTCATCTAGCCTAGAGTGTGCGTGTCCGCCCCGGCTCACCTCCCACACGCCCCCGAGTTTCAGATGGTTTGCAGTGTTCTCCTTCCACTAATTCCCTGCTTTTCATTCCCACTGTTTGTTTTCTTCCGACCTCAGCTAGGAGGCCAGCCTCCCCGGGCAGCATCTTCATCTGTGCTGATGACATGACCCGAGGACCTGCGCACAGTAGGTGCTCTGGATTTTTCTTGAATGAGTACGTCAGGGGTGGGGAACCTTTTTTCTGCCGAGGGCCATGTGGCTACTTATAACATCATTCTCGGGCCATACAAAATTATCCGCTTAAAAATGGGCCTGCTCCATTTGGTCAAACGTTTCATTCACTCACCCCTCATGCCTGGGCAGGGCCAGACCAAATGATTTCATGGGCCCTCTACGGTCCTCGGGCCAGACATTCCCCATAAATGAGCAGAATACATGCACAATGCTAGGTGGCTTTTACGGATATCAACGACCCTTCCGTGTTCATAAACATCTCCAGACACCATCAAGGATATTGAAAAAGACAGAGAGGATCCCAGAGACCTCACAGAGCAGAACAGCGTGACGGAACGCAGGTCACCAGCACAGTGACCCGTGTGCTTCCGCCCGCGTGGGGACCCCACCTGTGACCACCAGGCGCGTGGAGCCACTGGCCATCCCGAACTGGTTTTCTGCGAAGCAGGTGTACGTCCCAGCGTCGGCCTTCGTCACACTGGCGATGCTGAGCCCTCCATCTTTTAGGAAAGAAATTCTAAAGGAAATACAGATTCGACAAGTAAATGTATAGCAGTTCCAAATAAATAGCAATTTTTCTAACAGAAGTGCTGCCTTAAGCTAGTACTTTTGAGGCATTCTTGGAAATAAAGGGAAATGGAAGTTAAGTTTCCATCCCCCGGGAGAGATGACTTAACTGCATTACCGACCTTGCACCTAATTTGGGAGGTTCCAACATCAAGTAAGTGGGGAATATCTTCCACACAGGACTGGCGTGGCCGGTCGCTCGTGCCTTACCCTCATCCATTTGGAGAAAATAAAAAGTGGGCCGAGACCGTTCTCCTTACATTCAGAACAGGACCCAAGAAATAAGGAACCCACTGGCCTTGCATTATGAACCTGGGAGAAGCACATTCAACCCAGGAAAATCCAGATTTTTAAAATATACTTTTATTGATTTCAGAGAGAGGAAGGGAGAGGGAGAGAGAGACACACATCAGTGATGAGAGAGGATCATTGATCGGCTGCCTCCTGCACGCCCCACACTGGGGATCGAGCCCACAACCCGGGCATGTGCCCTGACCGGGAATCGAACCTACCGAAGGGTTCTTCCCTCCCTCCCTCTTGTAGGGGAGGCAGAAAGGAGAAAACTGGCGGAGAAAAGTCTCAAAGGGGGGAGCGTGAGTGTAAGCACGTGACCCACCACGAAGGCTAATCCCAACGGTGGGAGTTTTCTGCCCTGACCCCAAAGAGCACAGCACTGACCCGTAGCTTCCATCCAGAGATGCGACCTGCCATGACTAATATAGAAAAGCGATTTGCTGGAGATGTTCATAAGTGGAGGAAGCGGAGAGAGGATGCCGGGAGGCCTTGGAGACATTTACACGGGAGGCATCGGCCCAGAGTGAGAGGGAGGAGGTGGGACTGGGGGTTCCAGGAAGCTGGGCCCCACCCTGGGAGGTTGGTGAGCGCTGAGACCAGGGACCAATGTCGCTTGTGGAATGACCGAGAGTTCAGCTTACACGGACGCTCTGGCTGGTACCGGAGAACAGCCAGGCAATGACAGCTGTCTTCCTGTGCTGAAAGGGGGTGTGACAGCGGAACTTCCAGGACACACAGGGACCCATTAGGAATGTTGGGAGAACAGGAAATCCCCCAGGCACGAGGCTCAGCAACCCTCACTCCTGACTAGCAAGCCTGCCCCCCAACCCCGCTGGCCACCCTGAGCGAAGGGGCAGCGACCCAGCCAAGGCTGTCATGCAGGAGGCGCACCGACTCCTAGACCAACACACACGCCTCCCAGAGAACGCACACTCCTCAGCGGGAAAGACTGTGAGCTCAGGCTATCTCCTTCCACAGCGGGTTCTTCCAGGAAGTGCTCAGAGGCCCACCGGGCATGTCACGGCAGACACACAGACACCCGTCAGGAAAGGATGGAGGGACTGCTTCCAGCAGCCAGCCTTCCATAACCCACACCGCCCCACAGCGCCCGTGGGTGACACGGCTCCCTAAGCTTTCAGGGCATGCTTTCTGCAAGCGGCCAGGGCCCAGATGCGGGCGGCGCCGGGAGAGGCACCAGAGTTAAATGTGGATTCAAGGGATGAGTGTTCAGCAGGTGGCCGGCTCTCCAGCTCGCCTTGAGGAGCTGGCAGCTCCACACTCTACCTCTACGCCCCCCTTCATTGGTCTCCCCCTTTCGTCGTCAAAGGGGTTATTTCACTTAACCTCGTGCATCTGCGGACGGTTTGGGATGATAAAGGTCATTGCCCTCAGCTGCCCGAGGGCCCAGGCCGCACTTCAGCGATGGCATCTCATGTACGACCCTTCAGAAGCCCTGTTTGTTCAGGAAGTCCACCGTTGTCTTGGCAACACTGACCTGAACTGCGTGGCCACAGCTGAGCATAGGTAATAACACAGTTTGATTAGAGAGGGGAAGAGTGCGGAGCAGGCTGCCTGGGAGCCAGGGTTCCTGCGACCTGGCTGCCCCCGCCGGGTTCGGAGCGTCACTATAGTTGACTCAGTGTGAGCGGAACTGACAGGCTGCCACCGTGCCCCTCGGGAGCGCGTCTCAGAGGGGGCGGGTCACAGGAGGCGGCCAGGACTCGCGGCGGTGCGGAGGCCACACGGAGATGTGGACCCCATCTTCTGAGCACGTTCATGTGGTCCCTTCTCTCCAGGCAGCAGACACCGTCCTCCTCCCGAACTCAGGAGCCGGACCCCCCCACCCCCCTGCCCCGGGGAGGGTCCACGAGACCCCACTGTCCCTCCAGGCCTGGCTCTGAGAATCAGGTGGGCTTTCCCTACACACTCTTCACACACTGTCACATGACACAAGGACCGCAGGAGCGACAGGGAAGGAAGTCCAGCGAGCCCTGCCCTGGGGCTTGAGAAGGGGACCCCGGCGGGGAACAAGGAGCCGGGCTGGAGTGGAAGCCGGTTTTCTTAGGCTGAGAAGAAACTGCAGCCGAGGAAACGGCAGTGAGCACTCAGCTTCCCCCTCCTTCCTTTCCGTGAGAATTCAAAGGCTACACCACGCCCTCGCGTAGTGTCTCTTGATGTAGTTACAACAGTCAGTGTTTCTACTTCCAGAGAAAGAACCTGTTTCTTCTTCAACATATTCGCAGAAAAGAGCAAAGGCAGTCTGCAGTGACGCCACAACTGCATTACCGTGCTTTTCTTTGCATTTTCAGTGAGGGGGTGTCGGGCTGCTCCTGGGATTTGGGGCTTCCGTGGTCTGGGGAGACACACCCAGTAGGTGAAACTGTGATGCTGAGCCTGGATACATAGTAATGTATCAAGTTTGAACAAGAAACTGGTGTGAAGTAGATGCGTTAACCAGCTCTCCCAACCGCAATCATAGCATCGGCAAAGTATTTTAAACGTGGCCTTAACATTCATAATCCATAAAAAGTCATATTTGAAATATAGATTTAACAACCGCATGGTGACCTGCAAATTGTAGCTGATAGGATTTTAGAAACCACTTGAAAGCAGCAATTTCTTTAATGATATTTGGGTGGAATTTATTTATTTAAGGTTTAAATAATGGAAAACTCGATTGTTGTAATAAAAAATTTAGAAAGGTCTTTTCTCATTTCTCATCTCTTTCCATTTGAACCCAGTCTCGTTACTTACTTTTAAGTATCTGGGCAACACGGTGAAAAAGGTTAGTATTAGAAACAACATCGGCCGCTGCCGGGCCCGCGCCGGAGACCACGTGGGAAAGCCGCCAGCGTAGGTGCCTCACATAAACCGCTCCAGTTTTACCTGTGCGACTCGAGGTCAGGAGAGGGGCGTCTGGGCTGGGAGAGAAACGGGCAGGGACAGCGTTGGGAGCCATTTGCCCAAAGGAAACCCTGTCCTTTCCCTGCCGGTCAGGGGAGGCCAGGTGTTCAGCCAACCTCTCGCTAAGAGCGTG